CCAATCTCTTAAACATACCCTATCCCCTTTATCATTGCATGTATAATGCATGTTACTGTTATTACAGAATTTTGAACAATCCTTTCCAAACCAGTTTTTCAAACATATTTTATCTCCGTCAACATTACATTTAAATTTTTTGATACTGTTGTCGCAAAACTTCGAACAGTCAGGACCATACCAATCTCTTAAACATACCCTATCCCCTTTATCATTGCATGTATAATGCATGTTACTGTTATTACAGAATTTTGAACAATCCTTTCCAAACCAGTTTTTCAAACATATTTTATCTCCGTCAACATTACATTTAAATTTTTTGATACTGTTGTCGCAAAACTTCGAACAGTTAGGACCATACCAATCTCTTAAACATATCTTATCCCCTTTATCATTGCATGTATAATGCATGTTACTGTTATTACAGAATTTTGAACAATCCTTTCCAAACCAGTTTTTCAAACATATTTTATTCCCATCAACACTGCACTTAAATTTTTCATTCGTGTTGTCACAAAACTTTGAACAGTTCACGCCATACCAATTCCTTAAACATACCCTATCTCCTTTATTATTGCATTTATAATGCGTGGCACTGTTGTTGCAATATTTTGTACACTTCTCACCGTACCAATGTAAGAAGCAAACGGGATGTCCTTCACCATCGCATACATAATTCCCCTCGCTGCTGTCACAAAACTGATCGCAATTCTGGTTAAACCAGTTTGGCAAACACGTTCTTCTTCCATCTTCATCACACTTATAATTGGTTGCATTTTTGTCACAAAATACATCGCAATCTCTCCCAAATTGGTTGGAATTACAAATTCTGCTTCCATTTTTTCTACATTCATAAGTTGATGAAGTTTTATTACAGAATATTGTGCAGTTCTCATGCTCACCAAACCAGTTTTTCAAACATTTTTTATTCCCCCTAATACAATTGTAGTGACCTGTGCTGTTGTCTCGATGCACGCAACGAGGGAGGCACACAGGGCTGAGGCATTTGAACGTCAATACTACTTTCAATTTCCATTTCCCAGCAACCTCCACGCGAGCGGAAGAAGTTAGTTCCCGTGGTATAATTATGCGAGCTTCGCCATGATTTGTACTGTTGGTTGGACTTGTTGTGTTACATGTCTGCCCGGATGGTAGTTTCCACACAGTTACACTCAGTTCACTGTTGTCCTAAAATATAACGAAATGTCTTAAGGTAAATTAATATGAGCTATGAAAATATCTAAACTGACTACTCAAAGCTTTGTATCGAATGTCACCGAAAAGTCATAAAAATGTAATGTAAAAGATAACGAGAATAAAAGCATACCTTCCACTCGGTAAATTGAAATGTATGGTCGTGGGGACCAGGAAAACCAGCGTTCTTAGTACCAATATTACCGGCTATACCTTTGCCTTTGGACGTTTTTGTAGTGTTAAGGTTACATCGTGGAAATCCAGAAGGTGAGGTTGTCACGCATAGCTTGATACATTTTTTCCCGAAGTCCTTTGACTTTTCATAGTAAGTATCCAAGAAAACATTAAAAGTTCCTTGACCATCAGTAACTTGGACCTGGTAAATAAGGTAAATCTGAGGGTCATAAATGAATGTTTATTATTCAACGAGATATTAGGTCTACTTTAAACTGCATAAAATTAAATATATCTCAAACGTAAAGTTCCAATGTAGGAAGTATTCAACAGTATATAAACTGTCTTCATTTGTGATCGTAACTGCCCGAAGAGAAAGATAACATCAACGCTTCGAACAAAGACTCTCTGAACTTTGAATTAAAATTCTAGACGAAAAGCCTTCATACAAATTGTAGTTACGATCAGACCGATGAAAGAGTTTTACATAAGTATACTACTATCCACTGTTTCCCCCCAATAATAATACTGTGTCCCTTATATTTCATAGTTCCTGTTCCACAAGTTCTTAACACACAGAAAGAAAAGACAGAAAACAATTTTTGAATTCGTGGTTCTAATAAAAGTTCCAGTATATATCCGGCAAATCTTTGACGGATAAGATTTTGAGCCAGTACCGAATACCATTATCCGGGTCAAAAATTTTAAATTCCATCCGCGATATTTAATATATTTTCGCCAGCTGGTGAAGATGTATTCTTACGAATTAAACTCTTTGCCAATAACTACACTCTTTCTTTTCCCACAAACAAAAGTCGATATTAATAATGATCTCAAATCATTAATAATTCATGAGTAAGTTAGCCAATCATGTTACTTTATTTTGCTCACATGATAATATTGGATGACTCCAATCCTAGGACTAGATCAAAATTAATTCAGTCCTAGGAGATGTCGTGTCGAAACCTCAAGTTTAGACTGGACTGTAGTTACCGTCCTGTACTCGGCTTTGCCTTAAACTCTACAAGGACTGGACTAGATTTCAAGTCCGCGCAATTTGATCACGCCGGAGGCGAAGCCGAGGACTGGATCAAAATGCGAGGATTTGAAGTCCGCATTCGAGGATTTGAAATAACATCTCATACGAATAAATCACTAATTGATTTTGATCCAGTTCAAGGACTGAATTAATTTTGACCCAGTCCTAGGATCAGGGGCGAAACTTGAGGGGGGGGGGGGTGACACCCCCCAAAGTACAAATCATCTGGATTGGCAGGGAAAATCATTTGGATTGGCAGGGCAATGAAAGATTTTAAATGATGGAATGTAGAGTTATTAAGTAGATTCCAGGGCTACAGATATTGGTAAAAAAATAAGGGTTTCATGCATGTTTTAACAGGACC